ATTCTAAGAACGTTCTTTCTTCATTATGAATATACGATTTTCTATTATAATATTCAACGTATATTTATATAATATTCGATCCGAATATTCCAAAGTTAAGAACATTTGCACTTTATAAGAATATACATAGAACATTGTGTGCTATCTGGGTTCAAATGGTACTATTATCTTTTTAATACGATGGTGAATCAAGACAAAACATTGAAAAAGCTGTAAATTTGTATACTTTGTAGGACCCCAAAAGAAGATATCCATCACGTCGTACATTTTATCGTATAGTTAGACAATTTATATATATACTGTAAATGTTTTTCTTAATATTTTAAAAAACAGAAGTCCTACAAAAATTATTTCAGACACAAGTTGTGCGTTGTTTTACATAAAATACCAATTCCAAAATAAAACATAAGTTTACGATACAAAAAAAAAACAAATTGATTTTGAAATGACCTTGAAAACGATTACGTATTAAAAAAATAATAGTGCAATTTGAATCCTCAAAATACTAAAAGACATGTCAGCTTATTCTTTTTTTAAATCAGTTGTCTGCAAGATTTTTCGCTGTGTCACCTTAAATAAGACACTATTTATAACAAAATTACAAGAGTGGTTTTAATATTGTTTGTAAGACATATTGAGTAAGTTTTTAAGAAGTTTATATTTGTAATTTTGTTTACAGTAAAAGACAGGAAAAAGACAGGAAAACTTTATTGGTATAGTTAATTTGTGTTTAACGTTGTAAATATTATTTGATAAATTAAGTTCGATAAATGTGATTTATATACCGGAGTTACCTTATATTTTTCTTTTCTTTTCTTTTTATTGAGACATATATTCTACATGTCATGATGAGAGGATTACGTTTGCCAAAATTTCATTTTTCCAAATTTAGTATTGTACAGATCCTGATTGTCCATAGTGATCATTGCACAAATCTTGCACTTAACTACACATTGCACATATACTATGTTAAAGAGATGACCTTTATTACATAAATTATTCGCTTGCATATTTGCATACCACGTGGATAGCTCTGCAGGCGGACGCACGTGCGTTTCTCGTGCTCCTCAATTTTGCTAAGACTAGGGCGATTTTGTGTGTTTGTTTGCGCCGCGATTGCGTTTGTTTGATGCGGAAAACTGTCTTTTTCTATTCTAAATAGTATATATTGAAAGTGACATTTGAGTGAGTCGTACGATCAGCGTTGAGGAACTTGAAGACGCCTGACGTCACGCAAGAGAGAGGGTAATTTACGATTGGTGGGAGAAATACTTTAAAAACCGATGCATCGCTACACGTGACACGACGCTGTTTAACTTAACTTGTAATAACCATACCTTAACTTTTATGATCAACCATATCCAGACATATCTGACGTTTGTTTTTAGATTGTTAAATTTTTTAGATTGTTTGAATCGCTCGTAAAAGAAAAATCGCACTTCACTAACTTTGCTACAAATCTTTTACACGTTGGCGTGACGTCTGACATTGCGTCGTAGCGTCGGTTGCTAAGGTACTTCCCCCACCAATCGTAAAATACCTTCTCTACCTCGTGACGTCACGCGTCCGCAAGTTCTACGGCAACGCTGCGTACGATGTACGGTTGTTTAACCTTTAGAGCGCCGGGGTTTTGAAAAATTTTCAAATCGTATTTTTCTATAGAAATGTGGTCTAAGGTCCCTAAGTTAGGGCCAAACTAAGTTAAGATGTTGGCGAGTCAGACCCCTTACGCCTAGAGGCGTATCCCGGCCAGGTACGATAAGGCCGAATGTTAAAATTTTCAGAATTTCAAAAAAACATTCAATTGCACTATTGTTTTTGTTTGTAGCATTATTTCTGTTTTATCTGATCAAATAAAGTCAGTTTGCATCATTATCGATTGGAAAACATACAGGGCGCCATCAACTGACATTTGAGTTTTTTTTCTTTTTTCTAAAAAATTTTTTCCGTTTGGCTGAGCATTTATCAACGTATTTTACAATATTCATCTAATAATAGCAAAAATCACCGCTAGGTGGCGAGAACCCCGAAATCTATATCCACATCTAAAGTAGATCATTGATTTATATAATTAGATTCGCTGCAGTAACAAGTTGAACCTAAAACCTGTGTTATTGTGATACTGTTCGGACACGATCAATTATTACAATTAATTTAGATAATAAAAATTATTTTTAATAATTTCTATTTAATTTAGATTAAAAAAAAATGAGTATAAAAAAATTTCATTTTTTTACGCCTCTAGGCGTTTTCCGGCGCTCTAAAGGTTAACTGCAAAGTGAGTTTGAGGTTATGGAAAATGTGCCATTTGTAAGTAAAGCTGATGTTGATGCTGCTGCGGCAGATACCTCTAAACCTTGAAATACGTATTATTGTCGCGGATGGAAAAGCAGTCTTTGTGTCTACTAATGGCTTTATTGCGAAATTTCACTCAAATTAATTTCTGGAAGCTTGATTCAGTTCGGTAATCAACCGATGCACTCCATTGAAAGAGACCGAACCTGAAAAAATCCTAAATTTAATAGCGGGATTTAAACTCGAGACCTGCATATTCGCAGCCCCTGTACTCGGTCCGCGAGACCACTTGTGTTCCTTACTAACATATAATTAATTTTATGTACTTATTCTCAAGCTATCCTACATTTTATTTATTATTTATTTAAATTATTATTTTTCTAAAATTGTTGCAATACAATGTAGCTGCAACAATAAATAAAAATACTTTTCTTAAATATTATTCTTAAATATAATTTAAAATACATTTTTACAACGCGAACAAATGTTTTGTTAATATATGCTGATACTTGAATAAACAAAGTGTTTTTTAATGGATTTTTGATCACTGAAAACGAATCCGGCGGCGAAATTGACCTACCACGTCAAATTTCCGAGAAAATTAAAGTTAAATGTACAACATACTGTCTATTAGCGTGAAAAAGAGCATATCAGTGTATCTCATTCACACTAGTGGAGATTGTGTTACACAGTGTCGACCGTACGTAGCTGGAAAGCACCTATTGTTTCATATTACTCAACAAATACGAGAATACTACATTAAATTTATGATTGCTTCATTGCCGAATGCGTATAAACAGAAGTTTTAAAATCTTACAGTTTGAACTTTACCGGTTCCAGCATAAGTTAACAGTTATTGCCCGCATAAACAAGGTCTAACTGTAAAAGACTGTTCAATGTTTAGTAACAATCTGTTATCAACACAGGCGACAGATATGATCGCAGATAATCGCCACTTTGTTGCCTAGATGTCAGATAGTCGAGTAGTCTTGCGTGCAAACAGTCCGCACATATGCACGAACAGATCTGCTTGGCGTTTGGTGGCAATCTGTCGTCAATGCGTTCAACAGATCGACCTGACTGCGGTCAACGTTTTGTCATAAACAGATGCTCATACGGTTTGGCGGACTGTCACAGTATTGCTAAAGCAGATCTGCTTGCTATCGACCATCTATTTGTTATCAATTTCACTAACATATATGGAATCATTTTGGCCGCAATAGTCTCATGTATGTGCCAACAGAGTTGTTGCGTTTTTTGTCTCTATGTGCTAACATAGAGACAAAAAATGTATGTGCTAACAGTTTTGGCAGCACCAAAGCATGTTTCCGTACTGTAGCGTTTCTGCACACAGTTTCTGTTGCCAAGGTCTGCGCAGTCAGAAATTGTTTGCTGGGCTGATATTATGCTTTTATTAATGTGTCATGATAAATGTACGCATTATCTATAAAAAATATGTTTACTCGAAATAGTAATATTTTTATATTTAACTTAATATATGCAATGATGCTTTTGTGTAATACTCATCTGTGTAATATGATATATGTATGAGCAATATTGTTCTGTGCAACATATAGTTTACGAGATTTGTGCAATAATCACTATGGACAATCGGGATTTGCGCAAAAATTTTCTATACGCGCGAGATCTGGTCTATCGAAATCTGTGCAACAGTCGATTTGAACAAATGTAATCTTGGCAATCGGAGCTTTGTCGTCAATGGTGTTACAAAAAGTTGTAAACATTACTTATAAAATATTTTGCAATAATAATTTAAGAATTAAAAACATTTTTTCTGCGTTTTTTTACAAAATGATATCAAGCGTGAAATGTTTATATCTTGTTTGATGCATCTTTTGTTTACATATACTACATATAATAAAAAACTCAACTATACACACTTACACTCGGGCCGTCTCCAGACGGTGCTAATACTTGTGAGAAGGTCTCAAGTCCACGAAGAATTCCCCAAACAGATTCAGCTCGAAGAATAGCGATCGATGATGTCTCGTTTACTTCAAGTTTATCTATGAAACATATGTAGTGTGATGTATTGTGTTATATTACTAGAATTTAAATCAGAAAAAGATGTCTAGATAAAACTTCTTTGGTTTATATTATTTTAAACATACATCTATTAACGGCTTAAATCAATAATCAAGAGAGAGACACGGTAGTGCCTCGCGCCAAGTATACGCGCCAACAAAGTGTACGCGCACTGCGCGAGGCTCCGTGCCTCATTTACGCAAGTATAAACCGATCGAGTTCGGCCTAGACTCAATCAAAAGTTGAGATCGAGGCACGAAAAAAAGTATTTTGCGGTTTTTTTCTCCGTGCCTTTTCAACAGAAATATCTCGTACAAAGTTTGAAATTCCGGAAAAGTAGGTTTCAGTTAACACGTTGAGTGCCGTGAGAGTCACTGACCGGCAACGTCACAATTAATAAAAATACATAATTTAAGTAACTGATAATACTTTTAAAATTTTCAATTATATCATTGTTATTAGAAAGATATAAAGAAACTAATGCATCCGATAACTTCTCATACAGCACAATAGCTTCCAGTAATATGTCATTACGTTGCAACATTGCAAGTTGCAATGTAATCTTGCAGATACGTTTTAGAGACATACAATATCAATATTTCGTCGAAATGTTCCAGCAATGTTGTAGAAATGTATACTAAATAATAATTTTATAAAATTCTCAACATATTGTTCATAGTATGTTTAAGTCTATAGTATATTATTACAACCCTTACAAAAAAGAACTACTGGCAGTAATATATTGCGGCAGTGGAACGAAAACATTACTGGCATTCTGTGTAATTGTCAGTAATATTCTCAGTGATTCCTGTAATACCTAATAATATTCTTATGTGATTATCAGTAATATTTATATTACTGACTTTATTTATATGTAATCGGCAGTAGTTCTTTTTTGTAAAGGAACTACTTTTGAAGCGGAAAAGGAAAGTTCTAATCTCTTATTCCTATATTCCCTTATTCTGCATAAAATCTAGAAACAGCGCAGAGATAAAAACCGTAAAGTAAGTATAATAATTGTATTTTAAAAATCACATTATATACAATCAAGAGGCACCGTAGTGTCTCGCGCCAAGTTCACGCGCAACGAAGTGGCGCTCGAACTGCGCGAGCACACTGTGCCTCTTAAGCCCGTTCTACATTGATCGCAAGCGCAAACGCAAGGAACAGGTCTGGTAGAAGTGACCAATCGTATTGATCAAATCAGCCAATTGACCAGCGTGATTGGTCAATTCTACAAGATCTATATCTTGCGTTTGCGCTTGCGATCAATGTAGAACGGGCTTTATACGCAAGATTCAGGCATTTCATGGAGAGGAAATTTGTAATCAGTCATTTCTTAACAACGACTGAACCGATCGACTCCTTTTTAGACTCGTTCAATTCGCGTTGAAACAATGAAGAAAAAAGTATTCTTGCGTTTTTTTCGTTTGTAGCTTCTGAATGGAGATAATAGAAGATAAACGAAAATGTGTGTGTGAAATTTATTATGCCGGTTTGTGTTCGGACCAAGAATGGCTGCGTTCAGCAGACTTCAGCTCCTGGCAAGCGCTTTGCGCTTGTTGTCCGTACTTGGCTTTTTCTTGTAAATCTATTGAAACTATGAGAGTACAAGCCAATGGCAAGCAATAGCAAAGCGCTTGCTAAGCGCTGAGTTCTGCTGAACGCAGCCAATGCGTGCCGGAATGTGTGCTTGAATGTGTGCCGCATCTCTTCGTGCTTCTAACAAGGGGAGACTACGACAATGGAACAATCGATTTGGACAAAACTTATAGGATCGATAGATGATTATGTGGAGTATTGCAGGGTAAAGTAATAAGACGCACTACTCAAGCATTCGCGAAAAAATCGAATTTGAAAATTTCGAGTTACTTTATAAGGATATTAAATAGATTATTTAATCGAAGAGCGCGTAGCGTAGCGGTAGCGTACTAGGTTAGCAGTGTCGACGCTGCTGGTTCGAGTCTCGATATATTTTTTTTTTTTTTTTTTAAATGTTACAATATAATCTAAATGTAAGTATTACGTTTTTTATTTATTCATTGCATGTTAAAAAGTGCATTTTTTGCATAAACAATCCGTGATGTAAAAAATACGGTAAAAATAATTAGATTGTTACTAACTTGTGTTCTGTTTGTAAAAAACGGATAAATAATTGTACGCAACATGTAAAAATATATGCAACATGTTTTAAAGCACACACATTTCTTTGTGATATTTGTTAAACGTTATACCTTTGAAAGAAAATATTATATCCTTGAAAAGTAAAAAACAGACAATGAGTAAACACGAGAAATGTCCGTTACATTGTGAAAAATAAGATTTTATCCATTTGACTGGTAACAGCAAAAGTAGACAGAAAAGAAGAAAAGTGTGCAGTGCTAATTAAATTAGAAAATACATTAAAATGGAAGGTGTACCTGGTTCTTCATCGAATAAATGTGATAATACATCACTTCACAGTGACGAGTCAAAATTACTGCTAAAAGATGCCATTGTTTATCTGGAATAATTACTTTTCGAAAATGATCTTTTAATGTATCTTCCAATTTAATTAGCACTGCACACTTTTCTTCTTTTCTGTCTACTCTCGCTGTTACCAGTCAAATGGATGAAATCTTGTTTCTCACAATGTAACAGAAATTTTCTCGTGTTTACTCATTGTCTGTTTTCTACTATTCAAGGATATAATATTTTCTTTCAAAGGTATAACGTTTAACAAATATTACAAAGAAATGTGTGTGCTTTAAAACATGTTGCATATATTTTTACATGTTGCGTACAATTATTTATCCGTTTTTTACAAACAGAACACAAGTTAGTAACAATCTAAATATTTTTACCGTATTTTTTACATCACGGATTGTTTATGCAAAAAATGCACTTTTATAACATGCAATAAATAAATAAAAAACGTAATACTTACATTTAGATTATATTGTAACATTTAAAAAAAAAAAAAAAATATATATCGAGACTCGAACCAGCAGCGTCAACACTACTAACCTAGTACGCTACCACTACGCTAAGCGATCTTCGATTAAACGATCTATTTAATATCCTTATAAAGTAACTCAAAATTTTCAAATTCGATTTTCTCGCGAATGCTTGAGTGCGTCTTATTACTTTACCCTGCAATGCTCCACATAATCATCTATCGATACTATAAGTTTCGTCCAAATCGATTGTTTTATCGTCGTAGTCTCCCCTTGTAAGAAATGGCGGTATGATCGCGAACAAAAGAAAAGGAAGAGAATTGTAATATGTGATAAAAGAGAGAAAGAGAAAGAAAGAAAGAAAGAGAGAGAGAGAGAGAGAGAGAGAGAGAGAGAGAGAAAGAGAGAAAGAGAGATTGATTGATTGATCTTTATTTAGCTTTCTCAGCTATTTTAAATACAGTTTTAACAAACATTTGCTATAACATATGTTTTTAACATTCTTTTAAATGATTTGAGTCTTTCTTTACTTTTTATTTCCGCTGGTAAGGCGTTGTACATTTTTATCCCCTCATAGAACATACTTTTTTGTGCGCTCTTTGTTTTTCTGAATTTTATTTTAATGTCTCCAATTTGCCTCGTTT